TTGCTCGACCGAAAAACACCTTTATTTTAAGTTTACTCCTGCAATGTCTAAATATTGTTTGTACTGGTGAGTGGACATTTATTCACCTCGTTATGTTTATAGTAGACTAGAACGTGAAATAATTAAAAACATTTAACAATAAGAGTGAACATTTGTGAAAATACAACATAAGTGAGTATACTTTAAATTTACCACGATTTGGTCATGAGCTATTAAGTCTTTGAATGCCAGAACAAGCGAAACCAATGTGTAAGTAGAGATGTCTCCTTTCTTACTTGCTGTCATTTGTTTAGCTATGGATCATTACTCCATTGTTACAGTTGTTTAACTCGATTGCTTAACTCTTGTTTTAGAATTGTTTAACTTCACTGTGGGTATTCAATGCATTAGTTACATTGTTAGCTGTGGCTGTAATATTTTTCACAAATTCGGCCATAGTTCTATTTTTAACTGTTAATGTTAAAACATTTTCTCTTGATAATATGTTAGCTCACTAACGTCCAAATCGCTCGTACAAACGTGTGCTAACAAGCTAACGTTGTTTACAGTGTAAAAAATGGCCTGAAAACATTACCTAAAAGGGTAACGCAACTTAATATGTTGCACCAGACACAAATATTGTCATGCTAATGAAATGTGCTTTTTAAAGTAAGCACCCACCTCAGTATTTTGAATTGTAGCTAATTGAGACCCTTTTCGGAAATGAAAACGCTTGGCGCATTGTTCTGACGTCAGATATCATTGGCAACGTGGGAATGGTAGTCCTTGTCTGTTATGATAGAAACATCCACGCCGTAAAACTGTAGATAACCCAAACTAGGTCGATTCAGATATTAAACTGACACTAGATACCATTTGGCGAACATACTTGTGAAGTTGGGTCATTTTGGAGCCTTTTATTATCAGCCAGACTGCAACCAAAACACACTCACACATAGATATACTGTCGCCGTCTCCACTGACAGCGGTTAAAAGCCCGGAGCAAAACGATGCCTCAAATAAAACTTATTTGTTTATTTAGTTAGTCAATTATGCAATTGATGTCAGCGACTTTTCAACGCACATAGCTCTTTGGGGTGGTGACATAACGGTGACCCAGCCCAGGGATGAGACAGCTATCGATTCAATAATGCATCGCGATAGCAAGCTCTCACAAAACAATGATAGTGGCCACCGCGAGTGGAATAACGTACCATTAAAATGCATTTAGACATTATTCATTTCATTTGATTTATTTTGAGTTGGGATTAAAAGAAGCAGCCAGCATCTTTGCTATCACATTTTGACATACTGATATAAAACGGTGTAGTTACTATTTGCTATTTATTAGTGATGTGTCGTTCGCGAGTGATTCGTTCAATATGAACTTTCATATGACTCCTGAATCATATGAAAGATTCGTGACTCCCGAATCATATGAAAGATTTGTTCATATTGAACTCACGAATCACTCACAAATCACTCTCTGCGAACTAATAACTCACTGCTCGTGATGGGAAGACTATTGATTCGAATCTTTGACTCTCAAACAGTAAAATGAACGAGTCGTGAACGAATCTTGAACTAATCATTTCATTCGTTTTACAGCAGGTGGCGCTTTAGCCCTATTGTGG